ATCATCAGCATCATCATCATCATCATCATCATCATTATCAGAATCAGCATCATCATCATTATCATCCACCTCCTCATCCTCATCTTATTCTCCATCGTCATCGTCGTTTTCATTGACATCATCGGAGTCGTTACTGCGATCGGTCACTGTTGCCACCAGCACCAAACCACCAGTATTTCACAATATTCAACATCCTTCGCCTCATCAGCACGGCGCGCGCAAGCAAAGAAAAGCGCGGCTTGCTGGGCGTGCACGGTCGGAGTTCCTTCGCCAGCTCTTCGGAGAGAGCCTGTGCTGCCGGCGACATCCGCAGGTGCCAACCAGTGCGCGAAGTGCAGAACGAGATGACAAGGAAACACCGAAAGGAGGAGGGGCAGCAGCAGGGCCTGGGGGACGCAGGAAGAGAGGAGAGAGGGCGGGGGTCGGAGGAGTGAGTGAGCGAGCGCAAGCTCGCATGGGCGCCGCATGGATGGCCCGACGAGGCAGGCAGGCGGGCGACGATGGACGGACCATAGGAATGGGATCACCAGAGACAGTGGAGGACATGGCAGGGAAGAGGGGCGGAAGGGGAGGAGGCTTTGTTTTGCCATCCACGGCCAGTGGCCCCACCTGGATGGGGCAAACAGCAAACGGCTCGATTGATACCCCGCTCTTCTGGGGCTGGAGACCTTCGCCTTGAAGGAGGGGAGGAGGGGAAGCAGGGGAGAGGAGAGGAGAATGGAAGGGAGGCAGGGGAGAGGAGGGGAGACAGGGGAGGAGGGGAGGCAGGGGAGAGGAGAGGAGGGGAGGCAGGAAAGGAGGCAGGGGAGGGGAGGCAGGAGGGAAGGGAGGATGGATGGATGGACAGCGCCTTGAAAGGTCGGGAGGTGACATCACCAAAAGCTTTAGGGGGATCGACCCGAGTTAAATCGCCCTGGAGGTTCTTGCCTCCTCTTTAGCTTTGATCCTGGCGACAAGGGTCACCATTCGCTGCTCGAAAGCGGGGGCCGAGGGAGATTCCGAAAACGCTCGCGGTACTAAACTATTGCACATGTCGGGCTCATCATCCGCCTCTCGAGCAACGTTGAGCTGCGACACAGACAACGCCTTTTTTCCAGCACAGCTCTGACTTTGGGGTTGGGGCCAAACCCACGCCGAAAGCGGCTCAGGACATCCAGTCCCTTACGCGACGGCTTAGCGCAGACCTCAGAAAGCTTCACGGCCCTCCCTTGTGTCCAGCCCCCGCATTCAAAACACAGAATCTACTGCTCGCGGCAGGGGCCCAGGACAGCAGCGACCGAGGCGTTTCCCGAACAGAGCCCGACACGGCGACGAGCTGGTACCCGAGGGGATCACGCAGCAGCTTCTGGAGAGCAGGAGGCGGGCCCCTGCAACCTAGCATGGGCCTGTCGGGTCGATCGCACATCACCCAACAAAACCTACACTGCACTCCCAGTTCAGATCTCTTCCAGAGGTGCCACGTCTTCTGCTGGCGGCTTCTCCCCTGGGTGGTGAATGCCGCGCGCTTCCAACGCACTTCATTCTTGAAGAGGGGCAACACTTCGGCAGCAAGCCTAACGAAGACGTCGGCACGGTTTTGATACAACTCAACTTGGTCCAACAACTTGGGCAAGGGCCGAGGATGGCCCTCAAGGGCCTTCTTGGCATGCCCATCCACGGCACGATTCACAGGACCAAACCTACGATCACCTCCTTCCAACTCCTCAAGGGCAGACAGCTCTCGATGAGCCTTTACATGGAAGGTCGACAGAAACCCCGTGCCAGCTAGCTCGTGAGCAAAACGCCTCGCACCTGCATATTTATTGGATCCCATAAACTGTTTCCAGAGCGGCCTCTGGGTCTGACGAATCACAACTTTACAATCAAGAGCCAGAGAAGCCGGTCGATCTGCAACCTGTCCTACCAAAGCCGCCCCCGCATGTTCAGCCATCGCAGGGGTTTGGGGCAGACCGCCAGGAACAATACCCCGCAAGACAGCAAGGAGAGACTCGCTGCCTGGCTTCATGAGGGCGATCGCCCACGAGGCACGATGGAGACAGCGGAGGGCCTGCTTGGTGCAGCTGCCGTCCGACGCCATCTCGAGCTCCACCACATCCCCTGCGAGTTTCGCAAGATCCTCAGGCTGCATGTTCAAATCGAGTCCTGCGCCGTCTAGAATCTCACGGTTGGCATGGGAGGCTGGAGGAGGCACATCACTATCCGAAAACGCAAACCACGAGTGAAGGCAGGATCGTCACTGTGTGCCCCCTCCTCAAAAAATTCGGACGGGATCTCAAGGGTCTGTCGGGCCTCCACAACCTCAGGACGCGTGCAGGTGTATAATCTTTGGTGCAACGTGTCACGTTGTCCACAAGTGCACATGCCATCAGTGAGGTACCCAGCATCGCACGCGCGCGCCTCGGTCCAAATCGCATCCGTGGCGCATGACAAAAGAAGGAACTGCTGCTGGCGAGTGTGCTTCTTATTGCGCGTGCACATACAGTTACGAACCAGGTCAAAGGTGGCTCGCATACATTGCGCGTGCCCGAGCCTGTTCGCAAAACGAAACTCAGCCTCTCTCTGGAGACCGTCTCTGAGAAGATCAAGGAGGAGGCGAGGTGGGGTCTTGCTTATATCTACCATGCAGCCCCAATGGTCGATCCACTGCGTTCCTGACACCACTTTCCATCCAGCACGTCGTGCCGACAAGGTAGCTCGAGCAAGTGGGCCACGGCTGGACTTCCAATCGCCAGCAAAGCTGGCCTTAGCCTGCTCCCAGAGCTGAAGCAACTCCTGGAAAGGGATCAAGGAACGAGTGGGACTGACCTGGGCATTCGAAAGCATACGACACCATGGCAAGGCGGGACCAACTGCTGCTCTAGTGTCCCACTCCCCGTGCAAAACAAGTTTAGCCGTCGCACTGGTTCCTCCATGAGACGGCGGCATCCTACGAGCTTGGGTCCTTCGCACAGTGTTGAGCTCAGCATCCGAGAAACCCAAAACCTCAGACCCGTACGACGAGGCGGGCGCAACACCAGTGCGAAGGGGAGGCAGGGGGGAGGAGGGGAGGCAGGGGAGAGGGGGGGAGGAGGGGAGGAGGGAAGGAGGGGAGGAGGAGAGGAGAGAGAGGAGGGGAAGCGTTGCGGGAACGTGCCGGGAAGAGAACCGCCGCGCTGCTGGCCCTCTCAAGGCAGCGAGGCGTCCTCCGCAATACGAGCCCCGCGCGTTTGTGCCCCCCCCCCCCTTCCTCCTCCTCCCCCTCCTCCTCCTCCTCCTCCTCCTCCTCCTCCTCCTCCTCCTCCGGCTCTGGGCACCTCTGGGAGCCGGAGGAGTGCGCGCCTCCGTGTCACATGTCTGTAGCAGGGACGCCTCGGAGGCGCCGCCAGGGGGGCCCAGCGCGGATCCGAGGAATCCGCGCGGGCCTCTAAGTTTTTATGCTTACGTCATTGTTCGCTCCCCCAGTGTATAGCAGGGGCCCGACCACAAGAAACCTTCCACGAGAAGCCGAACCCCGAGACCCCGTGACGTCCATCGACGCTGGGCGTGGGAGCGTCCCTTTCATGGCAGAACCATCGAAACCCAAGAAACCCAGGGCCCCCTGGAGGCAAGCAGGGAGTTTCTTGGCATGGGCCCCCGCTGCACCCCTCCGATTACCAGCGACGACGGCCCACCCGATCCGAAACCGAGCTCGAGTCCGGGGCCCGCATGTCGGCGGCACGGCGCTGGCCAGAAGTACTGTGCTGGTCTTCGCACGCCTGCCACCACCGGGTCCGACAACCGTGGCGCTGCGTCACGTCTGGCTGGAGGAGGAGGAGGAGGAGGAGGAGGAGGAGGAGGAGGAGAATCGAGGAGGAGAATCGAGGAGGAGGAGGAGGAGGAGGAGGAGGAGAATCGAGGAGGAGGAGGAGGAGAATCGAGGAAGAGAATCGAGGAGGAGGAGAATCGAGGAGGAGGAGGAGGAGGAGGAGGATCGAAGAGAAGGAGGAGGAGGAGGAGGAGGAGGAGGAGGAGGAGGAGGACCGTGGGCCGCGGCTGCCCCCGCGCCTATCCGTCTGACATGCATCCTCCTGACCTTCCGCCTCGTGGTCACCCCCGTCAGTGACCGCTCGATCCAAGCTCGCCGTCAGATGCCAGCGCCCTTCTGATGCGCATGGTCGCGAGGAGCCCGGCCGAGGTCGCGTCGGCCAGGTAAGCGGGCAGCAGTGGCAGCAAACGAGCATTACAGGCTCTCCCCAAAGCCCCGCGCACCTTGCCGACCGCAAAGCGTTGCCGCCACTGGGCCAGCACACAGTTGGCCAGTTAGTGCGGCCTGCAAGCGGACGGAATGTCAGAATGTGCTCGTGAGGTGCTTGCCGACCCAGGTTTCGACCAAGCACCCATTCACAACAGCCAACGGCTGGCATTTCAAAGGAGAGCGAGCCTTCGAAGTGTGCGGCATCGCCGGTGAAGACATCAGCCTATATCTCCAGTCGGCCGACCGCGCCATCGGCATCTCCATGCTGGCAGCGCCAGCTCAGGCCACTATGGCCTCCAATGCGTCACACGCGCCGACCTCAAACGACACGTTTACAGACCCGACCCCAGTGACTGGCAAAACGCAGCTCCAGCACGCACTGCGCATCTGGAAGCCAACATACGAAGAGCTGCGAGCTGTAGGTCCCACGCCGTCCAAACAGACCAAGAGTTAATCACTCACGCAAGTAGTCGGTAAGCTTACGTCACTTCAGGTCGCCTCAAACATGTTCTGGTAATGGGGAGGAGGCGGAGGACAGGGAGGATGGGGAGGAAGGGGAGGCGTCGGAGCAGGGGGCGGAGGAATGGGCAGAAGGTTGAGGGAAGAGTAGGAACCCGCTGCGGAATACAGTTGGGAAAATTGCGCGCCATGTGCGCACACTGATCGCCTCCACGATGAAGGCGAACACACACGACTCCAGCTCGACACCCGCAAAGGGGACCAGGGGGGGAGGGAAGGAGGGAAGGAGGGAGAGGAGACGGAGCTGGAACTAGCAGGAGGGGAGACCACAGAAGAATGACGACGAGGATGGCGGAGGCATGGAGGAGGCCTTCCCAGCTCGCATCCTACCTGTCTCGCATCCGGGCGACGTCAGCAAGGCCAGTGAGAGCCACGCAGGCCGCCCGCCCCGGCGCCAGAAGGGAAGAGCATGGAAAATGTGTCCCGAAGCCATGCCGGGAAGGGGCGGAGGCTGCGTCGTGAAGTTGGCAGCCCTTTCTTCCCCCTTTCCCCCCCCCCTCCACCCCGAAAGCGTTCCCGTTGCACTCTCTCCTCCTCCTCCTCCTCCTCCTCCTCCTCCTCCTCCTCAGCAGCGGCCTCGGCAGCACCAGCACCAGCCCCATCGGCCTCATCGTCGCCGTCATTGTCGTCATGCTCCAGGCCGGTGGGCACTGGTGCCCTCGCGATCACTGGCATCGTCAGCATGATCAACGCCACTTGCCGCCTTCTAGACAGTTTCGTTATGCGCATCATTACCATGTTCATCATGATCATCAGCACCATCAGTATCATCAATCACACGTACATTACCTCCCTCTGCAGCCACTGCTTTCTCCTCCTGCTCCTGATCATCGTACCCGGTTCCTGTACGTGTGTTTCCAATTCATGTTGAACGTGCTCTCGATCCTCTCGGGGGGCGCGCAAACATGGATTAGAGATCCATGGATTTGGCGCGCGGTCGCCAAATCCATGGATCCGGGGAGGTGCCCTCCCCAAAATGCGGCCGGTGCCGCCTCGTTCGGTGGCGGAAATCCGCGATTTCCCGTGGAAACGGGACCCGACGCTAATCCACGCCCCCTTGATCCATGTTTGCGATCGCTTGATCCTCCTCCTCAAACTTCTCGATCTCCTTCTCGCCCACCACATCCTCATCCCGATCGACCTCGCACCTGCCTTCCCCTGCCTGCTCCTCCACCGCCTCCTCCTTCTGCTCCATACCATCATCGTGATTATCAAACTGCTGTTCCTCCTCCCTTCCCACTCGCCCGTCATCTTCATCATTTCCATCCCACTACTCCTCCTCCTCCTCCTCCTCCTCCTCCTTCTCCTACTCCTCGTCATCATAATCATAAACAGAATGATAAGCATCATCGTTATCATTATCATCATCAGCAGCAACATCAGCATCAGCATCATCATCATCATCATCATCATCATCATCATCATCATCATCATCATCATCATCATCATTAGCATCATCCACTGTCATGACCCTCGTCGAGATGATCAGCCTCGCTGTCATCACCACACACTTCGGCATGGTTCTTGTTATCAATGCGATGAACGCAATAATCGTCATCACTGACAGCACCATCACCGCAATCATTACCACCATCAGCGTCACAAGCATCACCATTACAGACAACCAGTATCCTTATCGTATCAACGGCATCATCACCATGGTCGTCCTCTCCATCCACCGCACTCATGCTCAGGCCTCCTGCTTCCATCTACTTCATTCATGCATCAATGTATGCCAACCTCCCCCTTCCCTTCCTCCCTCCCTCCCTCCCTATCCTTCCCTCCCTCCCTCATCCCATCACCCCTCACTTCAATCCATCACGCCCCCTCCCTTCCTCGCCCCGTCAGTCCCTCACTCCTTCCTCCATTTCTTCCGTTCCCACTCCTCGCCTTCGCCTTCTTCGACCAATCGATTCATGCTTCACTCCCCATCCCCCCCTGTCCCTCCCGTTCACCATTCGCCAATCCCTCTCTCTCTCTCTTTGCCTTGTCCTTGCCCTGCTCCTCATGCCGCGCCGTCAAGGGACAAGGCAATGAAGGCAGCGCCCCCAGACTGGAAACCGCCCGACTTTGGGCGGCCTTCGCTCAGAACTCAGGGTGTCGCCGCGCCTCGTCCCCCTCTGATTTCAGCCACCCGTGCTCGTCGAGGTGGCCGTCGAACTTCGGGCTCTTGCCGGGCCCACTCCACTCGAGGGGTGCAAAGTGGCTAAAGACGTTTGCAGGGCGAAGGGGGCGCCAGGATGTCTGCTTGCACGAGGCCTCCTTATCTTCTTTCCCACTCATTCTGCACATCCACCTCATCCTCACCCGTTACTTTCCTTCAGACAGTCCGTCTCCCTCCTCCATATCATTACTTCCACTTCCTCATCCTGAACACTCTCCACCACCACCTTCTCCTCCTCCTCCTTCTCCTCCTCCTTCCCCTCCTCCTCCTCCTCCTCCTCATCATCATCACCACCATCATCATCATCACCACCATCATCATCATCATCTTCATCATCAGTATCATCAGTATCATCAGTATCATCAGTATCATCATCAGCAGCATCATCATCACCATCACCATCAGCAGTATCATCATCAGCAGCATCATCATCATTATCAGCAGCATCACCATCATCATCATCATCATCAACATCATCAGCATCAGCATCATCATCATCATCATCATCATCATCATCATCATCATCATCATCATCATCATCATCATCATCATGGTCATCATCATCATCATTATCATCATCGTCATCATCACATTCATCATCATCATCATCATCATCATCAGCATCGTCCCAATCCTCCCTACCACCTCCTCCTCCTCCTCCTCCTCTTCCCCACCCGATTCCACCATTCTCTTCATGTTGAACACCATCATTGTACACTTCCTCCGACACCAGGTTAGAGGCCTCCTGGATGGGGTCGGAGTAGATGGGGTCGGAGGATCGCGCCGTATCGCCGATACATCGGCGATGCATCGGCGATGAATTGGCGATGCACCGGCGATGCATCGTCGACGTGGGCGATGCATCGGCGACGTCGACGTGAAGCACATCGGGCTCCACATCGAGCCGCATCGCCGATGCACCGGCGATGCGGAGTGATCCTTCGACCCCATGTACTCCGACCCCATCCAGGAGACCTGAACAGACGTCCATCCGATTTATGTCCGGATGTTTTTTGTTCGCGATGCTCCTCGTCGTCATCCTCATACCCATCATCGTCCCCATTTTCATCTGCAGTAGCAATACAATCACCAACACCAGGTAAATGACATCCTGCGGGTTTGCCCACAACCTGGTCTACGCAACGTTGCATGTACATGCGCAAACTCACCCCTTCTGGTATGACGTGACATTTGGTTGCGGGACCTGCGAGCACACTGCGCCAGGGCAAAATCGCATTGGCCGGGGCAGGCAGCGGATGAGCTTAGCGCCACAATGTCTCCTGCTTGAGAAACTGCTTGGGATGCCTCTTAAAGACTGGCAGCTCAATCGCAAACTGATCCTTCATGATAATGGGCCTCGATAGGCCCAGCATAGAACAAGAAACACTGCGCAAGCTGCGCTTCATAGCTGGGATCAACTCAGCGGCCTGCTTCCGAATGCCAGGCCATGCGACAGAAACACAATTAGTCGCGCTTCGCGCAGTTCCTCCCAAGACAGCGTCATGTCGAACACGCTCATAAGCCCCTCAGAACGCTTGAGAGTACTTCAACATGGGCGCAGTGAATACATAGTACTATGCTGACTGATAAAGCGGAGGCAGACGTTAGACACACCTCACGAGTCGTTAAGCAATACTCCATTCATCGTCAGAAGCAAAGTGAACTGCATACCCATCGATATTGCAAGGCGAGTGCCTCGTGGTGACCAATTTTCTGGGACGCCTTCCGAAAGTCTGTCGCTCCTTCTACTGCCTTCGGGTTTTCTCATTTAGATGGAGTGCGCGTGGCATGTAAACTCTGAAACGATTTGAGGCCCGCGGGGGGAGGCTCGAAGTGCGGCAACTTGCCAGATGCTTGCCTGCGAACGACCCTAGCAACCTGCAGAGCGCCTCTCCAACATAACCTTTGTGCTGCTACACATATTGATTCTGCTTACGAGACCCACCTCGGCTGTCAACAATAACGAGCAGCGCCGGCTTCGCCGCATCTGCAACATCATAAATAACATGATGCGGCGCAGGCGGTGTCGCTGCTGGGCCGCGGTCGACACTGCGCACATCCAGGGACTCGCACCTCTTTTGCTCCCGCGTCTCAGGACTTGGCGTGTCTTGTCTCGCCGTCACTAGCACTGGCTGGCACGGGCGCAGAAGCGACGGGGCATTCAGAGCAGAGGCGACCACCCCCCTCTGGGGGAGCTTAGGCACAGAACAAGGACAGGGCGGGCGGGCACCATTGAGCCCCCGTGATCGCGGACGTGAGGGCCCCACCCGATGGGTCCGGGACTCGCACCTCTTTTGCCCTCACGGCTCAGGACTTGCGCGTCCTGTCTCGCCGCCGCTGGCACTGGCTGGCACGGGAGCGGAAACGACGGGCCAGAGAGCGCAGAGGCGGCTATGCATTCTCCCTCTCTCCGGCGAGCTGCGAAAGCCCGGCCCGAAATCCATTTGCAGCGGTCAGCGGGCAACATGCCGGCTGTCAGTTGCATGCGATTAGATTTTCGGGAGCGGCCAAGAGGGGGGTGTCCAAGAGGGGGGGGTGCAAAGCATGGTCGGCGGCATGTGCGCGGCCCAGCGGGGGGGGCCAGGGACGTAATGAAATAAGAAGAGGCGCCATGAAATCTGGGGAAATATCATGGCCCACGCCATGATATCCACCCCCCCCTAGTCATCACCCCCCTCTTTTCCGCCCCCGAGATTTGCTTGCGGCAGATATCGCGCCACCTTCAAGGGGCGCGCGACAGGACAGCAGCGAAACGGCGGAGGCAGGGGCGGCTATGGGGCGGCCGCTGCGAAACGGGCCACCCGTTCTCGCACGCTCAGAGGCTGGAAACGCCGCCGCGGCCACCTGTTGGACACAGATGCCCCGCAGTGCCGCCCTCTCTCCATCCTCGGCGAAGTTGACAAACAAAACGTAGACTTAGGTCGGGCTTGTCCCCCTATAGGGGGACTTTGGGCGAAAAATGCAAAAATACCCCCCAAAAAAACCCAAATGGTCAAACATTGTAAAAACAAATCGTCCCCTGACTATATTTTTACTATTTTTGAATACTCCTCCTGCAGGGCGCCAGGTCCAGGCCAGATCCGAGGACCTGCCGAGGGGGCGGCGGAGCTCTGCCCAGCGGCCTGCCACCGCATTGACGAGCTCGGCGTACCTCCAGAAGGCGCGCCCGCTGGCCCACAGCTCGCGGCCCGTAGATCTCGAGAACGTCGTTCGCCAGCACGAAGACCACCGCGGGCCCGTCCAGCAGCGCCGCCAGCGACGAGCCCGACGCGAGGAGCCAGGCGTCGAAGTCGCGGAGGAGCAGGTCGCGCCGTGCCCCGGTGGGGGCCCCAGTTGGCTGGCCCCGGCCAAGAGGCGCCGGCTGGGCCCGCGAGGCAGCGCGCGCTGTCTCCCGGGCGGCCTCCCGCGTAGAAGGCGGCGGGGGCCCAGTGCCGACAGGGGCCACCGCCCCAGCCAGCACGGCCAGGTTCCGAGTCGCACGGCCACGCCCCCAGCGGCGGGCAGCGGCGGCTCGAGGCAAGCCCGGAGTGCGGACCACATCGGCGATCGGTCGGTCCAGGACGTCCCGGTCGCGCGCCGAGGAGGCCTCGCGGGGGCGCAGGGAAAGCGGCCGCGGTGGGGGCCTCGGCCCCAAACCATCACTGCCTCCGCGGAGCCCAGCCCAAGCAGCGCCAGGCAGCAGGCCCGCCACCGTGCAGAGCCAGGCTGTCGAGAGGCCTGAGCAGGGTCGCGTCTCCAGGAGCGTGTCCACCGACGCCTCGCCCGCCATTCGGCCAGGAGGGGGGCAGGCTCGCCGCGGACCTGGCGCTGGCTGCTCGCGAAGCACGAGGTGGCCGTTCTGGGATCAGGAGGAGGGCGACAAGCACGGGGGGCTGCGATTCCCGCTCGAGACCTCGCCGCCTTCGGCACGGCCCCCGCGGGTGTCCGCATCGTGGTGGGCGCGGCCCCGGACGCCCGCAGCTACCGGCTAAATTCGGGCGGCCTGCTGACGCGAGACCTCTGTCTACGAGGGCGCGCTACGGTCCCTGACGCCGACCTGGCCAAGGCCCTGACCATTGACGATGGGTTCGCCGCAGGCAGGGGGCCTCTGGGGCGCCCGGCAGCGGCCGCCGCCAATGCTTGCGCCGAGGCCTTCCGACGAGCCCAGCGCCTCTACGCCGCCCAATCGATGCCGGGCTCCACGTCCAAGCGCCACGTGGCGGAGCCCTCTTGTGATCTCTGGGCGCGCGGAGGTGGGCCCCAGGCGAGGGCTCGCGGCCGCGAGCATCGCGGCGGTGGGCGCGCCCAGCGAGCGGCAGGGACTACGCTAGCTTAACGCTGTCTCCTCCTCCTCCTCCTCCTCCTCCTCCTCTTCCTCCTCCTCCTTCGGGCACTCGAGAACGAGGCGGTCGACAGAGGGCTCAGAGAGATCGGGGCGAGTCAGAATTTAGAGAAGGAGGAGAACGTGTGTTATCTAGCTGGGTGGGGCTCTTACACGGCTACACGGGCACTCTCCAGACAAGAAACAGCGCTGGATGGGAAGGTCGTGCACCACGTTCGGTACCTAGGTGGGCTCCAGGCGTCCACGTTCTCGCCGGTGCCGGAGCTGCAGAAGAGACTGTTCGCCGTCAAGTCCAGCTTCCACAGTATGGGAGCATTCTGGTACAGTGACGCTCCCCTCGGAGTAAAAAGAAATGTAGTGAAAGGGTTACTGGTCAATGCCGCCTTATCAGGTCTTGAGGTGTGTGTACATGGACAGGGGCCACTGCAGGAACGGGACCTCCAGCCTCATCAATCTTACATTTTGGGTAAATGTAGGGCCATCCTCCAAGGCACGGCACGCAGGAATGAGCACGACACGCACATCATCATAGACACCAATATGCATATTCTTAAGAAGGTCAAAATGGGCAGCCTGTACTTGGAACTACGTTTAATAAGACTTAAATGGATGCAGGTTATGGTTGCTAACAGAGGTGTGCATGTACAGTATCTAGCCGCAGTGTTTGGAAGCATGGCATGTGACGGGGATGTCTTTAACGAAGGCAAGATCACCGACAAAG